GTTTGTCTTGGATTTGTGCAAATAGAGCCTCACAGAGGCGGGGAATCAGGCCACGGTCCGAGCCAACTCCACCCATCATACTGTAGGACTTGCCAGCGCCTGCAAGTCATGCATGGTGGTGCACGGGCGCGTGAGGCGCGGTTTGGAGCGATGAACAAAAAGGAGCTACAAGAGAAAGCCCTGGTGTTGACTTGTTGTTGACATACCGGTTTGCCCATAGGCGAAAATGGTACCATGGTAGCCTGTGATGTGGGCAATCCGTGGCCACACCAGGTCGGTGAGAGAAAGCGGCGTGCCCCACATGAGGGACAGCTCTGGATTGAGGATCCTATCCCCTCAGTACGGACAAGCGGCGGCTTTCATTTGGAGCGTCGTGTGGCTGAGCAGGGGACTGACCTTGGAAGGCTTCATCCAAGAGTGGCTGGCCTACGGCTGTGTAAACACTCTCTTGGTCAGCAAAGTGGCTGTCCTTGGCATCAAAGCTCCAAAAGCTGTGGTCAAAAGTGAACTGCCGGTGGCGGTCTGGGCCACTACCTGGCTGGTGAAGGACGGTACTGGATTCATGCATGGTGATGGCGCACTCGGACTGGGCGTTGACTTCACGCCGGTTGAAGGGGCGACATCGCACCGCCACCTTGACCGACATGCTGCTGATGTCGTGTCACAGGGGAGCTCGGTTGATCGCGCAGTGTGCTGTGGAGTGAAGGTCAGTCCGTCGCTACCCTTCTGAAAGACAAATTAAAGAGAAGAGTTGTGCAAAGCCCGGCTCGCAAGTCATGGATCAGCCAGGACCTGGGGGATGCGCTCGGCCATGCATGTCTCGAGCGCGACGCTCGCGATTGTGGGGCCGAGCAGATGATCCAGGGTAGCACGAAAAGCTCCTCGCCAGATTCCTTGGACTTTGAAGCAAAGACTTGATGAGCGTGGGGGAGCAATTTGTTGTAGGCAGACAAGGAAATCAGCAACGTGTCGCGGCGCGTGACACCCCCAGCGCGCGTCGGCGGCACAAGGCGAGGGAGGGATGGTCGGCACACACGGGCAAGTCGCTCTCGTCTCGCAAGTGCCAATACTCTCTTATTGCGTCCTCTCGCAAGTCTACGGCCACAGCCTATCCCACATTACCAACGCATGTACTCGAGCAAGCTGCCATAGATCTGCGGTCGCGATGACCGGGCACGGAACTTTGGGCGATGATGGCGGGCGATGAACGGTCCGTTTGCGAACCGAAAGGTCAAGAGAAAAAGGGGAAGAGATTTGAAGAGAGAGGGCAGCTGATCGTTGAGGATTGAAGAGATATGGAAGAGCGCCAGCCAACTTTCAGAGAAAAGGCGGAGTTGAGAATCGGACCTAAGGTTTTAACCAAGCGAGGGCCAGAGATCAAGGCAAACTTTCAACAAATTTCAGGGAATGACACGAGATCGAGAGGAATTTCAGAGATAAAGCGTCAAAAGACTCTGACAATTCAGACGTTCTGGGACAGTTGGTAATTGTCGTCGGCTTGGATGTTGACAACAGCAGTTGTTGACCAAGGTGCAGTCGTGCGCTAAAGTGCGGACACACACATACGCTCTGGCGTTTGGACGACGGCGGCGATGGCGGCGGTGGCGACAGCAGGGAGCCGGCGACTGCCTACGGCTTGGCGAGCTGGGCGATGGGTGAGGGGGATATCAGGGCTAACAGAGAGAGACTTTGACCAGTTTGCCCCCGAGGCTACCTCTTTCAACTTCAAGACCATCGACCCGCCTTTGATTATGCTCGACAATGCTCTTGACTTGCTCAAAGGTGAGGTGGCCAACGAGCTTGGGGCGGGCTTTCTTGGTGCTCGTCCAGTTGCTGTCCTCGTATTGCTTCGGTATCGTTCTGCGCCTTCTTTCCTGATTTCAATACGCTTGGCCGCTTTCATTGCGTGCCCGCTGACATCAATGACCAGCATCGCTCATCCCCTTTCGCGTACCTACGCATTTCCCTGCTGGCAGCTCGCCGCTGAGCGAGCGACAGTCGGCCATCGACGCCCGTCCCATGTATCACTTTGTCTGTACTCGGCTTTTACCCGATATTGAGCTGCCCGAGCGACTGCGTCGTACGTCGTGGACTCCCTGGCGTCTGGTCAGCCGTTGCCGGACCTCCCGTTTCTCACCTCAGCTTTCTTCCTCGCGGCGCCCGTCCTCTCTCCCCCCCCCCCCCTCCCCCCCTTCCGCCCTCTCCTCGCTCCCGTCTGGTTGTGCAGATCAAACTGTGACCGATGAAAAGGATCTTCCTCTCCGTAATACCATTTCCTACGGTCAGCGAGAGGCCCTTGCTTACCTTCGTGCGTGGGCCCCTTCACACTACGCCTCAACCTACCGCGTATTAACAGAGGCATGTATACTCAGCCACCCCATTCCTACGTCGTCGATGTTTCTCGCGCTTGTTCTGTATTCAATCTGTCCGAGGCAGTCTCATCATCCGTCTTCTGGCCCAGTAGCTCGCCTCTTTAACAAATATGGCGCCACCAACTTCCATCCTGGACATGGGGTCTGGCATTGGCTCGACAGCCTGGTACATCTCTCCCAGCTCAAGCCAGCTCAATGTCCAGATGCGCGCCCATGTGGAACTTACTTGTTTGCATGAATCCCGCATATTCTGCCTTGTTGTCTCCATTGTCTGCCTGCATCAGGGCCGCAGCGCAAGTGTGGCCATCAAACCAATTAGACTACCATGCCATTGATGCATCGCAAGCCATGCACGAGGTTCTGGCTGCCGTTGCACCTAGTCCCGAACACGTGCACTTGCGTCAATTTCGCTACGTCAACCTCAATCAGCAGGTACGATACTCGGCCTCGCCCTTTCCACTCGGCTTGAGATGGCGTTCCCCACGGGCGTGCTGGTCCCACGGGCCTTGGCCAGATTCCGCTCAGATTGTCATCCCGTGGGCTCTGACATGCCTTCCCGTGGCTGGGGCTCGCGTAGGAACGACATGACCTCACGGTGGCAGCCTACACACTCAGCGAGCAGCCCAATCTGCGTGCACGTCGGACTGCCCTTGAGCTTCTCTGGGCCAAGACAGAACGCTACATGGTCTTGATTGAGCACGGCTACCATAACGGGTTTCAGCTTCTCTTGCAAGCTCGCGAATGGCTCATGGCACAGGAGGACTTTGGCACCATGGTAGCACCCGTACGTTGCCGTCCAATGGTCGCCTCCCTGCTTTGCAGGATCCGCGGCGGGATGCGAAGGGCCTGCCGTCACCTCACTTGGGATTCTTCTGTCACCTGGCCCGCATCTCTCTTTTGACAGTGTCCTCATCAACTGGCCTGCCCACTGGGCCCCACGTTGAAGCCGTGCCAAGTTCCACTTCGCGTCAGCGCGCCGGCGAAATTGGTGAGCTGCTTGCATCACTTGCATCTTGCCACTTTTGGCAGGGTTCATGAGCCGGCACCGGCTTCTTGTAGCAGATGAACCCGAGTTCCATGCCTCACGCATCTCCTCACTCGCACTCTCTCATCAGGCCTTTACGCGACAACAAACCCGAGAAAGCTTTTTGCCAGTCAAGTTCTCGTACCTTATTGTTGCTAAACCGGAGGCATTGGCCGACTTGAACACCGCCGTATTACCGTGGCCCCGCATCGTGACAGCTCCTCGAAAGCGCTCAGGCCATGTTGTCTACGATACTTGCACCCCAGATGGTTAGCTTCTTGCCTGCCTTATCGTGTGTGCAGTGATGCCTCGTTGCTTCCCATGGGTCAGGTTCGGTCCATGGGATGCAACTCTTCGTCTTATTCTTTGCGCTCAATCATTGGTGGGTCTGACACAGGTGAGGTGGAGACAGTGCGACGTAGCAAGCGCTTCGGCAAGGCTTGTTGGGAGGACAGCAATGCGCGCGTGTGGGGAGATCGCCTCCCGCCACTCTCCGCGCTCGACTCTGACGCGCTGTCTGAAGCAAGGCATCAAGACAATACCGCGGGCGACACAGCGGCGCAGCCGACCGATTAGGGTGCCCATTTTCTGATAATTCATCTTCCACGACTCAAAGAGCAAATTCATCTGACATCAGAAGCAGAAGAACGAAACAACATCATCAGATCTCAAATGCTCGCTCGCACGGCTTCAGTTCCTCGCGCGCAAAACGCGGGCGCAGTTGGTTGCCACCTCCGCGGACCGGGTTCGGCAGCGAGATCAAGGTCCGGGATCCAACGTCCAGGTTGAATTGCAGTGCGACCCGCTTCAGTCAAGATTGCAAGGCGGTGCTCATCAGAACTTCCATATTGGCGTGATTAAGTATCGCGCTCCATCGAGCAGGGCATGTTGCGTGCTTGAACGTGCTTGGTCCCTCTGTTGTGCCTTGGTTGGCCGGCGGCAAATGGAGACACAGGAGTGAGCTGGCTTTGCCTCTACATTTGGTCCAGCGAGTCAATACATCGGATCATTGCGCCAGCTGGCCAGCAATTTGCTTTTTTTTGATTGTCCTCGACGACGATGAACATGGAGGACACATCGCTGTCCTCTTCGACCGGCGTGAGCGATCACCATCGCTTACTGCCAGCCCATAGTGACGAGGATGTCTTGTCAGCAGCCTCCAGTTCGTCCGATGCAGCTGATCCCGAAACTGTTGCAAGTGCCACCATTCGATGCTGCGGGCAAAGTTTTGCACGGCCCGCGATCATGACGCGCGCGCTTTACCCGTTCCTGCTGCTGGTCATCTTTGGCTCTTCACAATCCATGTTCACCTCGGGGTTCTACCCGGTGGCAATATCTTCCATTCAGCGCCAATTTGGATACTCCAGCACAATGATGGGTATCCTGACTGGTGCTTACGATTTTGCTGCTGCTCTCGGTGCGGTCGTCATCACGCACTATGGGCACACTGCTCACCGCCCACGCTGGTTGGGGTTTGCTGCTCTGGCCTTTGCCGCAGGCACGTTCTGCATGACTTTGCCCGTGTGGCTTGCAGGTCCCTATACAGCCGTTGGGGCCCAGTCCAATGAACTCTGCGATGGGGGTCATAGCATAAACGATGCTTGCGCTGCTGCACCACCGCGTGGGTACTTTGCCATTTTCTTGTTATCCATGGCGGTCCTCGGCACAGCCGCCAGCCCCATATACTCGCTGGGCCTCACCTTTCTGGATGACAATGTCAAGCCCGAGGCCAATTCTACCTACCTGGGCATATTCTTTGGGCTGAATGCGGCTGGCCCAGCCTTGGGCTACATTCTTGGCGGTGTCTTTCTCAACATTTATGTCAGTCCAGGCCACGAGACCGGGCAGGACATTGACCCCGACTCGACCGGCTGGGTGGGCGCATGGTGGATCGGTTTTCTCATCAGCGCCTCCATTTGCGCAGCCGTGACCACATTCTGGTTCTTTGTGCCCCGACAGCTGCCCAACACACAATGGATTCGCGATCTCCGGCGTCGACACGCTGTCAACATTCAGCGTTCCTTTTGGAGCAAAATGAATGCCTTGAACCGCAACCCGACGTTTGCGGGTGTGGCGCTGGGCAACGTTTGTGATGTGGCCATTGTGTCAGGTATCGGCAACTTTCTACCCGCCTATGTGGAGACGCAGTTCCATCTCACGGCCTCGACTGCGAGCTTTCTGAGCGGTGCTTGCATCGTTACGGGGGCTACGCTCGGCATGTTTTTGGGCGGGCTCCTGCCACGCTGGCGTCGTTGGAGTGCGAAGAAGACGACGCGAGCCATGTTCATATCCTCCTTGATCATGCTTCCTTTGACGCCCATGCTCTTTGTACGTTGTGATCAGATTCGGTTGGCAGGTCTCTCCACCCCAGCGGCCTCTTGGACTCCAGCCAACGCGAGCATCTACCAGGGCTGCCTACCAGCCTGCGCTTGCGACTCCAAGGCCTATCACCCTGTGTGTGACGCCATGACGGGCATTACCTACTTTAGCCCTTGCGCCGCAGGCTGCAACACCACCTATGATGACCACTTCCACCAGTGTGCTTGTGCCTGGGACAGCGCGATACCAGGCATCGCTGCCCTCAACCATTCCATGACCGATGGCAAATGCACTGATGGCTGCGAGCTTTTGCCTCTTTTCTTGGTCCTACTCTTCCTGGCCATGGTCTTGCTTCTCTTCAATTCAGTCCCAATTGCTACGGTAGGACGTCAATGTTTTGTGTGTGTGTGTGTGTGTGGGGGGGGGGGGGGGGGGGGGGCCCCTTTTTCAGGGTTAAATTTTTCC